ATTTCCTAAAATAAGTTTTGAATTGAACTATGAATGGTCATCAGAGGAAGATGAGGGAGAGGAGAAGCTGAATCCATCTGAGCACACATCCAGGTTTGTCAGTGTTTCATCAGCAGAGCTCAATGACTTGGAGAAAAGCAACATACTGTCAGATCAGAAGGCAGAGTCGACTGTGCCTGTGAAGTGACAGTCCACCATGCAGTCACCAGAGACTTATTTCACCGGCTGCACAATTAATGGAAACGTGCAGATAAATGTGTATAAAGAGTAAGTGCCTGGCGCACCATGTCTGCGTTACATAGCAACGGTGACAGCGGAGTCCTGAGGGAACTATTTTTGTTGACGGAAGACAAATAAAATGCTTAAATTATCTATTTTGTCCTCATTTTTCAACATTTCTTAATCAGCCTTGCTTATTTAACTGTTGAACTGTTGTATAAAAGCAATATCACACTCGAGCTCGTGATGTTGTACTGTGATATCGTCACGGCTGCGGCCTCGTGCCTACGACCGAATCACAGCCGTGACGATATCACAGTACAACATCACTCCCTCTCGTGTGATATTGCTTAATTATAGCTTACTGTAGCTGTCAGTTAAATTCAATGAAAAAAAATCTGTTCTTCCTAAAATCTGAAAGAGAAGTACAAAGTGACATAAAACAAAGTAACTCACAGTTGTACTTTAATGCAGTACTTTGGTACATGTAGCTGCCCAGGAGTGTGACTCAGTGTAAATCTGTATCATACATTCAGAATTGTACTCAGTTAAAAGTTAAGACTTTACAGCAAAATGCACTTAAAATGTAGAAAGCAAAGGTAATCTGTAGGCAGTGGAATGTTATATTACAATATTGTTGAATAATTACTATTGAGTTAATGTCTGAGCTTCTATTCAGCATTGTAGCTGGTTGACGATCTATTTTAGTTAATCTATATGATGGGTAAATAGTATTTCATAAACATTCAGTAATAGCATAGTAACTATAGTTGTTATATTAAATGTAGTGGAATAAAATGTACAATATTTCACTCTGACATGTGATGTTATTTTATAAAAATGGCCATACTCAAGTAAAGTACAAGAAAATTGTCCTTAAAGACCCGACACACTCACGTTACACCCACTCAGGTGTTTTCCATTACTTTGGCTGACTAAAGCTCTTTTCAGGGTTGTGAGGGAGTGTTTGGTGTTCAGACTGCTCGACTGACATCTTGCTCACTCTCCTGTTACACTAGTTGCACCTGTAGAGACGGGACAACTTTCACTTTTTCAAGTTATGTATTCACATAGCTGTGGTGAGCTTATATCATTCCAGTTATAACTGGTGTCTTAACTTGAATTTGTGAGATTATCAGAAATCACCTGTGTGGGTGCACAGGTCCTGAAGCAGAGTAACATTTTGACTCGTCAGAGTAGGGAAAGCACAGGTTTTGCTAATGAAGTGATGGGCGTACTGGTTCTTTCCACAGTACTGGTTCCATTGAGTTCCTTCATTCGTTCATTTTCTATACACCCTGGACAGGTCACCAGACTATCACAGGGCTGACACATAGAGACAGACAACCATTCACACTCAGATTCACACCTACAGACAATTTAGGGTCACCAATTAACCTGCATGTCTTTGGACTGTGGGAGGAAGCCGGAGTACCCAGAAAAAACCCATGCTGACACGGGGAGAACATGCAAACTACGTCACTGTGCCACCTGAAACTGAAGCAGCTAAACTAAATTCAGCCAGCAGTAGTTTTATCATTTAAACCTGTGCTTTCCCACTATGTCAAAATGTCTTTAAATTAGATCTGAACAGCGTCTGACATAAGGAAACAGCCTGTAATGGTTTCGTTATTAATAGTAAAATGATGATGTACTCCAAAATCTACACTATCACATGCTTATCAGTACAGTCTGACTGCACGGCTGTAAGCTTAGTAGTTTTTTCCATTTGGTGGAGCTCAGTCTGAGCCTTTCTGTTTTGTCTTGTGTACTAACAGTGTTTTTTCTATGTGAAGCACCTTGACAAAACATGACTTGTGTGTTGTAAAGCATTTACCTGACTAATTACCAAGATACAAAATGTTTGCTTTCTGCAGTGATGTTTCACGGTGTGATTACTGCCACCAACATCAGCACTCTGTAATATGTCTCACATTGCCTGCCGACAGATCTCTATCTTGCTATTATTTGTTGTGCGCTCACTGTTTCCACCCCTGTTATCTCATCCTCATACACCTCCTGACCACTCAGTTTCCTGCTTGCTGTGATATTCCCAAGGAAGTGCTATATTTACAGGAATAAATCAATGTCATACGGGTTTGGGAAGACTGGGTCACCTGGCATGAGTAACGCTGTGATGGAGCAGCACTGTAACAGTGCCAGAGATGGCGGTGATACGAACATGAAGTCAAACAATACTGTGTTGTTCCAGCTGGAGATGGCATCTTCAGTGATATAATAGGAAGAAGAAGATCTCGCGCAGATTTGCTTCTTTATTTTGAAATGACTCACATGTTTTTTAGGACTGCCGTACTATTAAATGAATGACAATTATAAAACTGCAAATATTCCATTTCTTTGTACAAAGAATGTATTTTTAGAGACTCTGGTGCTGCATGATACTGGTGAATCCATATCTCACAGCAGTAATTATTATGCTGGGAGCTTTTAATAAAATGGAAACAGGAACAGTGGGGGGCATGAAAACTGCAAGACTGTTGTTGTCAGAGGAAGATGAAGATGAAGAGGGTTTAAAGTAAGCGCCAGCCTGCAATTGGTTTGCTAAGTGATTGATTTAATATCTGTGAATGTCGATGGGAGTCTGCTATAGCATCACAATTCAGTCCATGAAAGCTGGGGTAGGCAGAAATATGAAAAAAGGTGAAAATACACCTTCCTCCTATAGTTCTCCTAAGCCCCTCCCACCAGACAACCACAGACATATGCACACGGTGGTTCCCAACTGGTCCAGCCATGAGTCTAGATTTCTCCTTATTCATTTGTCCAAGGTCCACACAATTTAATATATTTAGCGTCATACTTGCATTTGGCCATGTTGTCCAGCTAGTTTGCTGTCTCTGTCCAGTAGCTGTCCCTTAGTCACAGACTAGTCACAGACTAAGGGACAGCTGACTAAGAAACAGCACTTCAAAATAAAAGCTCTGTGCCAGAAATTCACTTAACTTGAAAATAAAGCAGTTTTTTTACAAACTTGAAATGTTCACAAGTCACTTTCTGTCCATTCAGAAAGGACCCTGTGACCCGCCTTTGGACCGCAACCACTGTTATAGAGTAACCCAGTGTTTTCCATACATTGATTTGTTTATTCTTTTATCATTGTAGAGCTCTCTCTCTGTTTATCACACCACAAACGAGACAAGAATGAGCTAGCCACCCAACAGTCCCTATGCCTCCCTCACCACTGGTGGCCAGTGGCAGCTAACCTGTGTAACAGCAGCAACAGAAAGTTTGCTGATCCAACGGGTAGTTGGGCCTGCTCATTTCCGCTAAGCTGGGGTTTGTGCTGGCTAGATTCGGGTTGCTGCAGCTGCTGACTGAGGGTCTGTCTCTGGAGCTGCTGCCTGCGGTGGGAGTGACGCGGAGGAGACACTGAAGCCTCTTTGACACTGCCTATTCAAGGCGGGAATTTCTCGTGGCTATTCTGCCCTGCTGTTCAGTATAAAAAGGTACAATCAACCGGGTTCCTACCGGTTGGACAAGCCCTCTAACACCTTAACAAGAGGCACCCGTGAGGCATCCTGATCAGATTCCCAAACCACCTCAACTGGCCCATTTTGAGGAGCGACTCTACTCTAGGCACCATTAAGTTGGCTCTGGTTAGCGTAAAGCTCAACTATCAGCAACATTTTCTCTACATCTCCAAAATGCTTTGCCAATATTGACACGTCCGTCTTCCTTTTGTGGGTTGCTTTGCAGTGTAGGCAGTTGTTACCAATGCTGGAATAGCAACTTTCATTGCAGGACTCTCCGCCATTGAATCAGGCTTTAACTGAAAGAATGTACATGAGCATCTGTATTTGTAAAACAGCCGACAGGAATGTCATTGGCCAAAGTCTTCCATCACAAGCTAGATCTTCTAAAGCCTGAAAACAGAGCCAAAGGGAGGTGCAGAGGTCTAGTGTTCACTCCAATCAAATTACAATATATGCAAAGTTTATTATGGTCATTTCTGCCCAATGACGCAAAAATAAAATTGCATATCACAACTTTCAGGAGGAAGTGTGATTTACGTGTGTATGTGATCGATACACAGGAGTGTCAGGAGTCATGTTTGTCATCTGGAAAGATGAATGTTTTATATTGAAAATATATACTGTATGTTTCAGTTCAGACTCCGATTGTATCCACCATGTACAGTACTTTATGCACGCTACTATTAACAAGACTGACTAATAAACTATGACAAAATCAGATCCGCTCCGCTAGTCAGAAAAAGGGGAAACATCGCCCCGTAGTACTCCACCATTTCCACATTTCATTCTCAAAACAGCAAAGTGTAGGACATCTGTCGCACAGTTTTAAATAACCTGCATCTTTACACGTTACTAGACATATTTTGACGTCCTCTACGAGTGTCTGAGTTTATTTTGAAAGAAGAAAAAAAGGAAGGAAGGAAGAAAATTCAATGGAGCTGCGATAAAAATAAAGTTTGTCCATACTGTCTGCGCAGAGGCGGACGATGAGTCAGGATTGTGTCTGGAGGTGTCTGGTTTTGTGGGTATTTCCCAAAGATGTAGTATTGGATAAACATATGACAAAAGACTTTACCTTCACCTCCAGATTTTAATCAGATTGAAGAAAAATAGAAAATATGACTGACTTGTTTGCATCTTGTTTAACTAGTCATGAGGAATGTAAAGTGTGAAGGTGTTTTTGCATGAAGTATTATTACACATACATGGATAATTGTCCATCTAAAAATGAATAAATCAAGAAACAGAAAAACATAGTTGTGCAAAAATCTGTTTCATTGTTTTTACCTTGACTTCTGACGCCCACACAGCAAGAAGTTTGGCTCAGCTGCAAAACCACAAACTGCTCTCAGTCTCCATTCATCATTCAGGCAGCTGATGGAGAGTGCACAGAAGAGTGTGTGTTAATGCAAAGACTTTCTGGATGCTTGGAGCAGACAAAAATAAAGATCTTGATACACATGCTGAGATGTGATTGTTAACTTTCAAACACACTGGTCATTTCAGTGCATTCTCAAACGTTCACAACTTGTTTCTTTAAAGATAATCCTAAAAAAACCTTCTTGTTGAACAAATTAACATACTCTGCATTCTTGGTCTGCATATCCAGACTGGTATATTTTTTCACAGTGTCATTATCAAAGCTTATTGTTCTTGGCAGGGACAATTCCCTTTTAAAGGCTTAAAGTGCCAAATGGGCCCGCACCATGTGTGTTCATGTACTGAGTGACATCTCTGGCTGCTGTCCTGCAGGCACAGAGGAATTCAGCTGAAAGTCTACACCTGCAAAGGGAAAACCTCCGAGATGTCCAGGGTCCTCCTGTTTTATGAAATCTGTCTGCTTGTTGGCTCAGTTCTGCTTTATTAACCTAAATGCCTCCCCTTAAAATTTGTCATCTGTGTTCAGAGCAACTGTGACGCACAGTCCCCCCCTGACCTCCCCTCAGATGCGAGACATAAATCACAGCAGAACCAAATTAGAATCTAAAAAAAGGAACAGAGTAGGGTATTTTGGTAAGCCTCCAGTAACTCAGCTGCGTGTTCGAGGTGGAACAGTTGAGATGGCATTGTGTAAAACCCAACTGAGCCTCAGATAATGGTTATGATAAAACCTGATATGTAATAAAAAGTGCTCTGGAGGAATATTTATTAAAATGATACTAAAACTACGGGCGGGATACGAGACAATGAGGCCCTGGGCACAAACATGCAGAAGGCCCCACCATCTCTCCTACACAGATACAAGACACACAGACATTTCAGCCTTTTTTATTTTATGTCTCTTTGTAGAAGTTATGCATCTCTTTGTGGTTTGGTGTATCTAGGGTCATTCTGTGTCTCCTTGTAGAAGCTTTGCAGCCCTTTATTGTCATTTTGTGTCTCTTTGTGGTTGTTTTGCTACTTTTTTGTAGCAGCTTTGCATCTCTTTGTGGTCATGTTGTGTCTCTTTGCAGTTGTTTTACTGCTTTTTGTAGCAGGAACAGAGTGGTCATTTTGTGTCTTTGTAGCAGCTTTGCATCTCTTTGTGGTCATGTGTCTCTTTGCAGTTGTTTTACTACTTTTTTGTAGCAGTTTTGTATCCGTTTGTAGTTGTTTGTGTCTCTTTACAGTCAGTTTTGTGTCTCTTTGTAGTTGTTTCACCACTTTTTATGGTTGTTTTACATCTCTTTGTAGTTGTTTAGTGAATCTTTGTGGCCCTTTTGAGTCTCTTTGTAGCAGTTTTGCATCTATTTGTGGTCATGTTGTGTCTCTTTGTGGTTGTTTTGCTACTTTTTGTAGCTGTTTTACATCTTTCTGTAGTTGTTTAGTGTCTTTTTGTGGCCATTTTGAGTCTCTTTGTAGCAGTTTTGCATCTTTTTGTGGTCCTGTTGTGTCTCTTTGTGGTTGTTTTGTGTCTCTGCAGTTGTTTTGCTGTTTTTATGTTGCAGTTTTGTATCTATGTGTAGTTGTTTAGTGTGTCTCTGCAGTCATTTTTAGTCTCTTTGTAGATGCTTTGCATCTCTTTATGGTCATTTTGTGTCTCTTTGTAGTTGTTTTGCATCTCTCGGTAGTTGTTTTGCACCTCTTTGTAGTTGTTAAGTGTCTCTTTGTGGTCATTTTGATTGTCTTTTGTCAATGTTTTCTGTCTCTTTGCCATGGTTTTGTGTCTCTTTGTGGTTGTTTTTCCCCTTTAGGTAGTTGTTTTGAGTTTCTTGGTGATCATTTTGTGTCTCTTTGTGGTTGTTTTGCACTGCTTTGTAGTTGTTTGGTGTCTCTTTGTGGTCATTCTGAGTCTCTTTGTAAATATTTTGAATGTCTCTGTCGATGCTTTCTGCCTCTTTGTAGTCATTTTGTGCCTCTGTGATTGTTCTGATTGTCTTTTGTCAATGTATTCTGTCTCTTTGCCATGATTTTGTGTCTCTTTGTGGTTGTTTTTCCCCTTTAGGTAGTTGTTGTGAGTTTCTTGGTGATCATATTGTGTCTCTTTGTGATTGTTTTGCTGCTTTTTGTAGTTGTTTTGCATCTCCTTGTAGTTGTTTGGTGTCTCTTTGTGATCATTCTGAATGTCTTTGTAAACATTTTAAATGTCTTCGTAGATGCTTTCTGTCTCTTTGTAGTCATTTTGTGTCTCTTTGTGATTGTTTTGCTAGCCTTCTGTAGTCATTTGCATCTCTTTGTAGTTGTTAAGTGTCTCTTTGTGGTCATTCTGAGTCTTTTTGTAAACATTTCGAGTGTCTTTGTAGATGCTTTCTGTCTCTTTGTTATTCTGTGTCTCTTTGTGGTTGTTTGGCATCTCTTTATGGTCATTTTGAGTGTGTTTGTCAATGCATCCTGTCTCTTTGCAGTGATTTTGTTTCTCTTTGTGGTTGTTTTGCCCCTTTATGTAGCTGATTTGTGACTGTTTGTAGATGTTTTGTTTCTTTTTGTGCTCATTTTGAGTCTCTGTTGTCGTTTTGAATCTGTTTGTAGATGTTTTGCTTCTCTTTGTAGTTGTTTAGTGCCACCTTGTAATAATTTTGAATTGGTCTATAGTCATTTTGGCTCTCTTTGTAAATGCTTTGCATATCTTAGTGGTCAGTTTGTGTCTCTATTTGGTTGTTTTGCCCCTTATTTAGCTGTTGTGAATCTCTTTGTGTCTCTTTACAGCTTTGCATCTTTGTTGTAGTTTTATGTTCCTATGTAGTCACTTTGTGTCTTGGCAGTTGTTTAGTGCCTCTTTGTGGTCTTTTTGAGTCTCTTTGTAGATTCTTTTGTCCCCTTTAAGTTTGTTTGTTTCTCTTTGTAGCTGTTTAACATCTCTTTATTGTAGTTTTATGTTTTTTTTCTAATCATTTTGAGTCTCCTCCTGTTAATTTGAACGACACTTTGCAGGTGAAGGCCAGATTGAGATTTTGGGACCATTTCTATAGAGATATCAAACAATCCATTAGTCTGAGAGAGGGTTGTTTTCTGCCTTTTAGGAGTATAACCTCATGTCCATGTAATGTGCTTTAAACAGACAATTTGTTTTGTAAGCCCAAACAAGTAGGATGTAGTTACCCCTGCCCACACTAGAGGGAAGCAGCAGGAAGACACAGGCAGTTTCTGGAACTTTCTGGAACCAGAAACAAATGATTATATCCATGTGTGTTTTACTTTAGCTTTAGTTATTATGTGTTATGAATAAAGTAACAGCTTTATTAAGGAGAGATTACATAAAATAAAATTGGATTTCACAGCAGCTAAAGCTACGTGTGCAAATACCCTGAAAGATTTACTGCATTACTCAGGCATTAAACTTCCTCTGCCACCTGAAATAATAAGATTTTAGCTCTTTGAGAATTTGTCTGAGGAAAGTAAGGGTGGGTGGCTCCTTCAGTCTTGCAATTCTGTGTAAGAGCCACAATTAAAATAAATCTGCACAAATACCTTAATGCAGCTTTGAGGGCCAAGTGACCTTTGGGTACAGGATAAAAAAAATGAAGTGATATATATTTTGGCATAACAACTTTTTTTCAGTTCTGTCCTTAAGTTTTTGCCTTTGCAACAAAAATCAAAGTTATACTCTGTTTTACAAGTTGAAAGGCAAAAAGCCAGGAGATTAAACAGGAAGTGATGACTCCTCTCTTCATTGGAAAATAAAAAATAGTTTTCAGGAGCTGTTGTGGGCTGTTGATAAAATCCCTGTAAGAGCCTGAGTAGCCAGTTTCCTTATTCTTGGGTTCTGCAATTATTCACCATATTAAACATCACTGAAAGTAACAAGGCTCAAAGCCACATCCTTCCCCGTACTGAAATAATCACAAATAGTCTGTTCTCATGAATTTAAATGCCAAAACAACTAATAATAGTGTGTGCTGACCTGGCGGTCCTCACACCCCTGGACATTACAAGATAAATGACGGGTCACTATATGATTTTTTGCTAATTTCTTGAAAAATACCTGATATTATTACAGTCCTTCAAGTGAAACAATCTGAGAAGGTAAAATTACTCTTGGGCCATATATTGTGAGGAGTTACAAGTCGATACTAATTTGTTTAGGGGGTCACAAGCAAAAAACGTTGGGAGCAGTGGCACACTAAGTCCTCCAAGTGCACTCAGATTTCTTGCACCAAATGGAATTAATACCTTTATTACAAGTAAAAAAACAACAACACATGTCACACATGGATTTAGTGTTGTCATAAATGTTGATTTATTGATGCATATCTATTCTGAACTAATTTTTTTCAGCAGTATTGATACTTGTCACAGCTGCATTTTCTCTGTCTCTCAATTTTCAGTGCAGTCATTGTGCTGTTATCTGCTACTACCCAAGAAAATAAAAGTGGTCTTTGTCATGTTATAGCGTTGTTTTATTTATCTTTTGATAAAAAAATATTAAACTATATGCCCTAAATGTAATTTTTTCCCCCGGGGTATCAAAAATGGTATTGAATAATGATATATTTTTAAGGTATTTTATCGAAGTTTGATCCACTATTTGTATTCGACTTCCATTACAATACTGTATTAAAGGCAGTAGTGCAAAGCAACTACATGCATTTACTAAAGTACTGCACTTCAGTACAATTTTAAGATACATAAACTTTAATTGAGTATTTCTATTTTATGCTATACTTTATACGTCCAGTTCACAACATTTCAGAGAGAAATATTTATATGCATAGACACAATATATCTATAAGATTTAACAAATAAAACACATGATGATGCAGTGCCTTATTATTAAACTCACCAGCAGCGCTTTAAGTATCTAAAATTGGCTGCACATTGACAACATACAACATTAAGTAATAATATTTGATGATATCATGTATTATTAATAATATAACACTCTAAAGGAAGAGTTTTTGCATTATTTTGACACTATAAGGACATTTAATTCTGTATTTTTACTTTAGTGACATTGTCATGCAGGATTTTTACATGAAATTGAGGTTTTTGACACTTTGGAACTTCACTACTTTTCCTTAAGGATCTGAATACTGATACCAATAGATGTATTTACTTCTCAAACCAGATGTCATGATGATTATAGATACATATGATAACATGTTACAGTCTAAATAAGTCACCAATTAGACTGATGTACTTATAAAGCAATGAATTTTCCCACCCCCACCCCCTGTCACATAAAACACCTGCAGCTAAGTCAAGTGTGTGTGTGTTTATAGCCATAACTTTATTTATTGACCCATTTATGGCCGCAGGCGTGTATTTACTTCCATGTCTCTCCTCCTCAGCTGAAACTTTCCTATCCTCCAGCAGTGTGTGTATGTTATTTGGTTGCTAGGGGTGGAGCAAACAAACCTCTGTGTCTTCAGCCCTCCTCTTACATTATTTTCATCCATGCTTACGTCTGGGACAGCAGTTCCGCATTCCCGAGCCCTCACAGACAAGACCAGTACTTAAACGGGCTGATGCAACGGCTTCACTTAGTCCCAAAACCTACATCCGACTCCTCACTCCCGCACCGTCACCACTATTACTGCGGATTTTTGGACGCACAACAGGTAAGACTGTGTGTGATCCGTCGAGCTAGGCTGCCATTGTTTTATCCTCTCTTTGCTTTTGTGCTAGTAGTTAGCTTAATGTTGGTGCGAGCTTCATGTATTTGCATATTTTCTGCACTTTTTCTCACCACGCTGTAGAGACACAACACGCCGGGGTTTGTTTGTCAGTATTTGTATCACTTTATATTAAAAAATAAGGATGTATTCTTTATTTAATTACCGTGAAAAAGTTAGAGGTTTTAATAGTTTTAAAGTTTTCCGAGCTCCCACCGCAGGAGTCAGTTTGTTGCCACAACCGTTAAAAACGATGTTGTTACAACTGTTGTAGCAACTGTCGCCTCATAGCTCGTTATTTACAGAGCCGTTAGCTAAATTACACAGCAGCTAGTGTCGGACTGGAGGTATTTTCATCTCGGGAGTCTTAATTTCAGTGTTGCTAAACAGGAGAAGTGTCGGTTAGCCCTGTGAAGACATTATGTAACGCTACACACGCCGCGCACTGGGGGGTTTCTACGTAACTGCAAGCTAAGCTAGTCTGGTGCACCAAACTGCACTGAGTAAGTAACGTTTTTTAACTTTAACATTAAATAAATACATGAATAAACATTGTCCATCCTGTACAGTCATGTCATTTATCAAGACCGTTGTAACGTTAAATTCGGCTACTTCTACCAGTCCATTTACCTTTTTATAACACTTCACTTGAGAGTTAACTCTTTGCATGACACACAGCAAGCTAATATTACCAGTTGAGATAGCAGTGTGTCTCTGTTGGTGTGGATGGAGAAATAATAATCAGGGCTGCACACATCATTATTTCTATTATCAATTAATTGATCTATACCCATCACAATTTTCCAGAGCCCAAGGTGATATCCTCAGATAGTTTGTTTGTCACCCCTCCCTCTGATGATCGGACTCATTTGGCTATTTATAAAACAAAACACACAATATAATTACTCATTCTTATTTCATTTATAACGCTACAACCATTTCATTGTATATTGTATATATTTCAGATTGTCTACTATTTTATTATTTATTTTATTTTATTGTCTACTTTAATATTTTATTTTTATTTTATTTTAACGTCTACTTTAATGTTTTATTTTATTTTATTTTAATGTCTACTTTAATATTTTATTTTATTTATTTCATTGTCTTTTAGTATCTTATTTATATTTTCATCTTTATCTCTTGTTTCCATTCATGCTGTATTTCTATTTCTACTTTGCACGGAGCATTGGAACAAAAAGTTTCCCCCCGGGGATTAATAAAGTATTCTGAATCTGAATCTGAATCACAATAACCACAAATATATTAGATTGATTAGATTTCAATGGCATGAGATAGGAAAAATGAAGAAAATACTCACATTTGACAAACAGGAAACAGAGAATCACAGGTGTAGATTGGGAGGGAGGCGCAGGGGACACATGCCCCTCACTATCTGCTTGGTCCACCCTAAGAAAAACATGAAAGTATCAGTATCAGACAGACATTTGCACCATAAATGGATGCAGAAAAAGCACAAATTGGTGCAGAAAACTTCTCCAGAATGCAGGAATTAATTGTTTGATGCTTTAACTGCTCATATGCTCCCTCCTCCTAACTTGAAACAAAACCGAAGCCCCTGCAGATAGTGTTTGCTACTTTTGCACGCTAATATGCGACTATTAAAACTGCTCATTTCAGCTCTCATACAAATACTTATACTACAAATAGTAATACATATCATATTTCCTTTCTACAGCGTCCAAACACAGTTGCATCATTGACAGAAGACGACTGACAAGTTTCCTCTGAGTGAGTACTGCACATTTAAAACAACTAAAGATTGAATTAATCAGGGATGCTCTCTGGAGTATTTCCTTCAGCTGCATGAAAAAAAACCCAACTTTTTTTGGCATAGCTGCTTCACCTTGAAACATAAGTGATGTAAATGAAGTGTGAAGTTTATTTGGAAGCATGAGAGTACAGCAAAGAATGTGCGCTCAGATTTGTAATCTTTGCTTTGGCCCATCACGGTGCACATGCTCTGTAACAGCTCTGGATAAAGGAAACTCTGTGTGTGTGTGTCTGTGCGTGCAGGCCTCACAAGTGAATTTGCATAGTAGAAACAGACTCCAATATTACACTTCTTCCTGATCACCACAGCAGTTCTTTGTTCTCCCTGTGCTGCTGCTTATATCATACTTTTGTGCACATCGGGGCCTTTGATTTACACTTTGCTGTGTAACAGAAACTCTATGTAGGCCAGAGGTAGCATCAGTTATCTGCCCTTGTTGGCCTGAAGGTTAAAGGCCAATCATGGAATGGGAAATATGATGGGCAGGGGTGGATCATGTGCATGTGAGTGGGCTTGTGACTTGCAAGTTCATAGGTTCACTGTTTTCCTATATAGCAAGTGCATGCTCCTCAGCTGGTGCAGTGCAACTACGTGCCATGCAGGGGAAACTATTTGTGTTCTTTATATATGCGTTTGCCTTTGTGTCTTTATCTGTGTTTGCGTGCGTCTGAGTGAACGAGCGTGTGTCGCGGAGGGTTTAAATGCCCCAGCGCCTGCCCAGGCACATCCGTAGGATGGTTTCTGCATAAATGGAACGCTGCAGTGGATTAATGGGGAAGGGCTGGCGAGCCAACAAGCAGCGCAGGGCCGTCAGGGCTGAGAGGCTGGACGTGGGCGCACAGGGTTTATTTTAAGTAGAAATGCCTTCCAGTGCGTCTCTGGAGAGCTGGAATTGCCAAGCTGCACCCCAGTACACTGAATAGACAGCAGACGCATTGCAGGCGAGCGAGCCAACTATGCAACAGCTAGGCTCAATGATACTAATACTAATGCTGGGGGAGCAGCTATTCGCTGCTGTGTGTATCACATTATCAGTATCACATTGTAGTCTCCATAAGCCTTTCCACATGGTTTGTGAAAACAGTGTGTCAGGACAGACTGGATGTGCACTGTGGAAGCAAACACCCAAACGTCCAAAGGTGTAACCAAGAGAAGAGACATTAAAGCCAGTGCTTTTTTCTTAGAAAAAGAGCTCAGTAAAAGCTCCTTCACGTAGTTATGGTTTCCAGATTTCCTGAATTTCTTTTGGACTTGAAGCCAGTTTTCTCTGTTTGCAAAAGAAACAGTCTTGTCACTAAATGTCGACCTAACTATTGACAACAGCCTTAACAGCCTTTGAGATGAACAAAAGGATTTGAACACAGCACAGTGCAGACAGTGAGGCTTGTTTAGTCAGAGCAAGCGTATGCTTGACGTGGGGCAGATGAGGAAATATCAGAGGACAAAGTATGAAACGGCATTAAAGTGACAACCACACGTTACGTAACGGTGATTGCTTCAACAGGCGGCATTAAATCTGATTTTCTGGACTTGGTTGGCCAATATCTTATTGTCAGGGATTGCACATAACTTGCCTTGGATTTGTCACAGACGTAAAGTCCATACGTTTGAAATGGCTTTTGTCTGCATTTTGTATTTTGATTCATTTAATCCTTGTCTGAGCCAAACCAAAGCTCAGAGCCATGCAAAGTCTAATCCTGACTTACAACGTGGAGAAAAATAGTAACAATATAATAATTCAACCAGGACCACCCAGATGCAGAATATAGATGTGTGACTGTTTGAATGGCTGGAGCAGGCCAAGCAGGAATCCAGCCAATGATCACACAGTAATGTTTGAATGAAGGCAGCCACAGTCCTCATGCCTTGTGCATATCTGCAGGTGCTTTGTGTTTCAATTTGCCCTGAAAAATGTTTCATTCTTAGGCTGAAGTCTACGATAAAATAGAGTTAAAGGAGCAGTGTGTAGGATTTAGCAGCATCTAGCGTTGAGGCCTGGAGATTGCAACCAGCTGAAACTTCTCCTGTGTGACAAATGTGAACTCCCGGTTAGGATTCCTGCAGTGTTCACGGTTCAGGAGTTGTTTTTTTAGCAGGAGCAAAATTATCTGCAGAGGTATCTTTCTCTTAAAATAAACAGACTCGGTGAGACACAGAATAAAACAGTTTCACGATACAAATCAGTTTCTGAAAGGCTTTTTGGCTTGTCGCAGAGGGGCTGCTAGCCCAGCTCTTGCTAATATCTGCTCATCTTTCTTCTCTGATAACTTAAGATCCAGACGTTCAGGAGGTTTTTACCAGGAGCCAAATTATCCACGGAGGTCTCCCCCTGTCCAAAACAAACAGACCCTGTGATTTACAGACGCAAAACACAGAATAAAGCAGTTTCACATTAAAAATCTGTTCCGTTTCCAACATCGTTCGCCTCGTCTTGGAACAGCTACCTATGGTGGTCAATGCAAAAACTATCTAGAGCTAGTTTGGTTTGTCCGGTCTGGGCTACTGTAGAAACATGGTGGTGCAACATGGCGGACTCCTTTCATGAGGACCTGCTCCCTATGTAGATATAAACAGCTCATTCGATGGTAACAAAACATAACAATTCTTATTTTCAGGTGATTATACACTTAATATTACATACTTATTATATTAAATGCTAATATTAAATTCAATTTCTGCCAACATATCCCACCTAAATCCTCCACACTGGACCTTTAAACTACCTGCTCTCCTGTGTAATTTCATTGATAACCTCTGCAATCACTGGACTCCAGATTGCTCACTGCTGAGGCATCCAATCTGTAATTGTGAGGGGGAAATTAAGCTCGCTCATTACCGCTGCAGCTGAGGGTCTCATCATCATTGACAATATTGCAAGGTTAAATGTTCATAATTGCATCAAATTGCTTTGGGAAGGTTTAGTCATCTTCGCAAGAGCGATTTTGAAAGGTTCCCTCTATCTGCGGCAGCTGTTTGGCCTATAAGAACAGCCAAAAGAGAAATGAAAGCCGAAATGAAAAGAGATCCTATTTTCTGTTGCGATAATCACTTCCACTCCCACACACTATCACCCCTGAGTTTAATGGCCAGAGATGACCGCAGCATGATCAGAACAACAGACATTATTAGGGAGTCTCTTCCCCTTCTCATGCCTGTGTCTTGTCCCTCCAATGATAATATAATGAGGGGTTGGAGGAATGTTTATACTGTATATTTGGACCGTCCCATCCTCGAGAAAGAGCCAGTGCCAAATTCCCTGGTTTCCTCAGAGGATTGCGAAAGGCTGTAACTCAACACACACAGCCTGACTGAGTGCAGACGGTAATGATGATCGCCGAGACCTTGGCTAGCGATTGAGAGAGCATGCCTTGGCCCGAGCCTTTGCGCTCATTGTTCATTTTTCAGCGCTCGTGTGGAGTTAGAGCCGAAGAGGCTGTTTGTAAGAGTTTTGCAAGATGCTGGTGTGTGGGCCATGCAAGGCCGTATTAGTCCAAAATTAGACTTTTAATAAAGTGCGCTGACAAAAAGTGGTCAAATAGCATCTTGGAAAGTGTGCACGTCTTTCCCGTAACACCATGATCCGGTGATTTAAAGTTAAGTAGTCTGGCAGCACAGAGATGTAACTTGTGTCTCCGGCAAAGAGAAATTAGCAAATACTTTTGATTCTGGCTGTCAGTCACCAAAATGATTGCGCTGGTAAAGGTTAGCTCCTTTTTAAAAAAGAAGCAGTATATAAAAGGTAATGAGTAGACTTTAAAAAAACCTTGTAACCCCCCACCCCTCTCCTTCACCGTCTCTATAGGGGATGAGGATAATAGGGCCTCTAGTCGTGCTGCTGGCTATTGGTAAGGGGCTGAATTCCTCCGTACTGCTAATTGCTCTCAGGAATGACTCAGGAAATGGACACATTTGGTCGAGCTGAAGACAGATAGAGTGTGTGAGCAAAGAAACCAGCGTATTGTAGATATATATATATATATATATATATATATGTGTAGGACACACTGAATGCCTGCACATTACATATAGGAACCTCACATGCACACGCACCCTTCACACACACCTCCAGCTATCTACGGCTCACATGCAGTCAGATTAGTTTTGGACCGAAGCCAGAATGTGTCGAGTACGGTCCTATATATTTCATAACTAATACATGACATTTCCGCTCCCCGCCCTTGGCTTCGGCTCGTCTCCTCTCAGTTTGCCCTGAGAGGCAGCGGAGCCGGGCTGTGTAGGTGTCTTTGTTTGAGACTAGTGTGGGCCTAAAAGCTGTGGCACTGGCTGTTCTGCTCGACTGCAAAAGCACAGTGACGGCGTTGCATCATCAAACGCTGACCACTAATCCTCGGCTGCAGGCTGCTGCTGCTGACAGAAAAAAAAAGAAAAAAATACCCCTCTTTTGAAAATGTAAAAATCACTTTGACTAATGCTTTTGGGTATAATTACGCAGTGTGAGGCATGCATCAGCAAACTTTCCCTGTGCTGTACAGATGAGACTTCTGTAGGGTTTCGTGTCTCGAGGCTTGACGGGCTGTTGAGTTTGCGAGGGGGATTTCGAGACACTTGTGTGGCAGGTTGAAAGAGACGGAGGAGCTTAAACATAAACTTGTAC